TCTGGGGAACAAGCCTCGGGGAGCAAGCCTCCTGGGGAGCAGGCCTCAGGGAACAGGCCAGGAACCTTCCTGAGGCCCCACATTGGGGAGTGAGCTTAGCTCGGGGCACGAGCCTGCCCTTCCTTCCTGAAGCCACCGCAGCTCCAGGTGCTTGCTGGGGGACGTCCAGGGAGGAGGGATGTCTAGGAGAGTAAAGGGCCAGAGAGTTGTCTCAGGTCATTTCTGAGGAAACCAGTAGCTGACTGTGCCTCGAGCTAATGTGTTTGTATCCCCAGGCCCATAGGGTCAAAAGCCATCTGGTCCAACCCCCTCATTTGACACTGTTGTGCTCCACCCCCCCTTGACCAGTGGTAAACTGGACCTAACAATATGGGGGGGGGGGGTATCTCCCAGAGGCGAAGAAACAGCAGATGCAGGAGGACATGAGCAACATGGTGAAAAAAAGCGAGGTCAAGCAGCTGGAGGCCCGGGTGCAGCTGCTGACCGGGCGCCTGGAGAATGCCAGTCAGCAGTTCAGCTGGGCCAGCACGGAGCTGGACAAGGAGAAGGCAAAAGTAGAGAGCATGATCCGGCACCAGGAGGTGAGGCCAGGCCCAATGGTGGTGGGTGCTCGCTGGGCCTCTTTGGAGCCAGCTGTCCTATTCAGGGGGCCACCAGGGGCCCACAGCCTGCTCTATCCAATTCATGCCCACCCAGAAAGTACCAGCTAAAGGCCTCTTTTGTGCCTGGTGTGATGCTCGGTACTGGACAAAGACAGCTGCTGCCCCCAGGGAGCTGGCATTCTGTGGGCGGAGGGTCAGGGCTAGGGAGGGGTGAGCGGAGGGGCCTGGGGCCCAGGGAAAGGCCAGAGCAGCGGGCCTGAGAGTTCTCAGCTCCTGGACCAGGACTGGGGCAGTGATGGGGCTGGACTGAGCTGGCAGAGGCATTGGGGGCAATGAGGGGACTTCAGGGGTGAGTCCAGGGGTTTGGGGACCTAGCTGAAGGGGCTGCTCTGACCGATTCAGAGCCTAGCGAGGCACAGCCTGGTGAATGGGCCTGGGTAGCCTGCTTCAGCAAGGCCTCGGCCCATCTCCTCTGGGCCTGAGGGGGCTCTGCAGCGGCCGCCCAAGCTGTCCATCCTGGGGGCCGGGCCCTGGCTTCACTCACAAACTCTCCTTCCCATCTGGGCCCTGCTGCTAAGTGCCCTCCTCCCTCTGGGTTTCAAGAAAATGGGGCCCGCCTCGGCCAAGGCAGAGCGCGTGCCAACCGGGCCTCTGCCCTCTGTCCCCCTCAGTCCCTGCAGGCCAAGCAGAGGGCCCTGCTCCAGCAGCTGGACAGCCTGGATCAAGAGCGGGAGGAGCTCCGGACCAGCTTGGAAGAGGCAGAGGTACAGCAAGCTAACCTCGAAGGTCAGCTGCAGGCCGCATGTGGAGACAAGGAGCACATGGAGGTCCAGCTAAAGGCCCAGCAGGTGGGCAGGGGTAGAGTCCACAGGGGGCCGGAGAGCCACGGCCTCCCCCCTGCTGTGGAGGAGCCCGGGTGCCATGATGCTGGGTGCATTTCAGCAGTGAGGGGTGGAGGCAGGAAGGCTGGGCTTGGAGGTTGGAGGCCCAGCAGGTAATCCTGGGCAAGGGACTTCCCACCTCTGGGCCTCAGTTTATTTTTCTGCAGAAATGGGGCCGGTTCCAGGGCAGCTCCCCTAGAAGGCTGGTGTGAGGAGAACCCTTTGTGAACCTTTAAGCACATAGACACGAGTGCTGCTTCCCAGGGGACTCAGGGTTGGGCAAGGCAAAGATGAAGGCACAGGGCTGCAGGTCAGGGACAAGAGAGCTGAAACCCAAGGCGTCCTCCCCTTGGTGGGCCCCAGGCGGACTACTGGGGTCAGCCTTATCTTGGCAGGGCCGAGAGAGGAGGACCAGACAGCCCTGAGGCAGACAAATGGAGAACGAGGCCCGAGGCCCAGGGGTCCTTGTTCTAAGGGAGAGTGGCCGCCCCAGGACTTCACTGGCCATTGCCCATCAGCAGCTGGGCAGCTCCCTGAATCCCCAGCTCCATCCCCCACCTCTTTGCAGGACCCGCCTTCCCTGTCCGGGAGCCCCAGACTCTTCCATCTGTCCCCAGTTGTGAGCGAGCCATTTCTGCTCTTCGCCTGGAAGCCCCTTGAGGGCAGGGACCCTCTGTTGCCTTTCTTTGTGGTCCCAGTGCTTAGCACAGGGCCTGGCACACAGCAGGTGCTTAATGAACACCAGCTGACTTAGTGACTAGAGAGTTCCCAGGCACACGGAGGATCAGTGCCCTCCCCCAGCCAGGATGTGTGGGAGACAGGCGCTGAGGCCGGCTCTCTCCCTATGGCTATTGTCATTGTTCTTACTGTTTCACCTCCTGCTTCTCTAGTTCCTCAAGGCCGGCCCTGTCTTCTTCAGGACACCCTGAGGGAGGTGGGGTGGGTCTCATTCTGTCCAGGTCCACAGCACTGGGAGCCACGCTGGCACACATGGGCCGGAGTCCCTTTCTGAGAGCCCCTGCTGCCCCGGTGGCTGCGGGCTCACTGTTCCCCTGGTCCCCCGTCTTCAGGAGCTGCTGCAGAGCCTCCAGCAGGAGAAGCAGGGCCTGGAATGGGCCACGGAGGAGTTGCAGGTGACCGTCTACCAGCTGGACAAGTCGATCCTGGAGCTGAAGGAGCGGGAGCGGCTGCTGGTGGCCTTCCCTGACCTCCATGTCCCCAGCGAGGCCCAGTTTGAGAGTGAGAACCGGCCTCAGGGCCGAGGGTCTGGCTGGGGTGGGGGTGGGGGCGGGGGCCGAGGGTCCCAGCGGTGCAGGCGACTCCAAGGAGGATGGAAAGCCAGCGTCGCTCGGGAGGGTCTCTGGGCTTCTCAGCTTCCTTCAGGCCTCAGCTCCGATACCCCTTCTGCAGGAAGCCTTTCCTGACCCTCCTTCATTCTGGGGCCTCCCTTCCCTCTGTGCATCACCTCTCATTTATCCTGTAATGAGCTTGTTTGTATGTAATGGAGCAGGCCCTGGGTTTGTTTGGCCTCTCTGTGCCTCCCCAGCGCTTAGCACTGCGCTCTCTGGAACACAGTAGGTGCATAATAAATGCTTGTTGGCCTGGCTTGGTAAAGGGCATCACCAAGGACCTTAGGGGAGGGCAGTGGGCCAACCCTGATGGGAGGGGAAGGCCACCCTGAGGCCTCCGCTGGAGCTGCCGAGGAGGAAGGATTCTGGGGGAAGCTGGGGGTCAGCTCGCGTAGGGGGGAGTGAGCAGCGAGAGGTCCAGAGATGGGAAGGGACTTGTCCAAGGTCTCAGGGGCAGTAGTTATGGTCAGAGGCGGGTTTTTCAAGCCAGGTCACCAGACTCTAGATGCTGCCACACTGCCCGCTATGAGTCATGCCAGGCCACTAAAGCCCCCTCCCTAGTTCCACCCCGGGGCAGCACCCTCCCCCTCCATCCCCCTGGAGCCCCCGAGCACAAGCAGAGAAAACTCTGGACGTGCAGCAGGGGGAACTCAGGCCAGCCCTGCCTCCTGCTTCCTGGGAACCCTGGAGATGGCCTCACTCTGGGGCCTCAGTTTCCTCATCCATAAAACAGGGACAAGAAACACAGACTCCCAGTGGAAGGGACTTCAGGGGCACCCGCAGCTCAGGCCTGAGCAGGCATCTCTCTTATACCCCCTGACAAGTGTTCATCAGACCTCCAGGGATGGGGAGCTCACTACTTCCCCAGGGGCACCTAGTTCTGCCTTTTAGGGTCAGGATTACAGAAGAGCCAGTCGAGGGTTGTGGGTAGTTCTGCCCTGCCCCCTTCTGAGGCTTCCCTAGGGGCATTGGAGCTTTCATGGGTGCACGGTCAGCTTTCTCTATGCCCTGGGCTGCCCCAGGCAAATCCTGCCTTAGACTCTCCCCAGGGATGTATGTGTGTGTGTGTGTGTGTGTGTGTGTGTGTGTATATGTGTATGAGTGTGTATGTGTGCATGTGACTGAGTGTATGTGTGTGTATGAGTGGCTGTGGGTGTACAAGGGTGCAGGTGAGTGTATGCGTGAAGCTCTGATGTAATCCTGACCCCAAAGGACAAAACAAGGTGCTATTGGTGGGTGTGTGAGTGTGTATGTGTGAGAGTATGTGTGTGTGTCTGAGTGTGTGTGTCTGTGTGTGTGTGAGAGTATGTGTGTGTGTATGTGTGTATGTGTGAGAGTATGTGTGTGTGTGAATGTGTGTGTGAGTGTGTGTGTGTGTGTGTGTGTGTGTGTGTGTGTGTGTGTGTGTGTGTGTGTGTGTGTGTGTGTGTGTGTGTGTCTGAGTGTGTGTGTATGTGTGTGTGTCTGAGTATGTGTGTGTGAGAGTATGTGTGTGTGTGTCTGAGTGTGTGTGTGTATGTGAGAGTATGTGTGTGTGTATGTGTGTGTGTATGTGTGTGTGTGTGTGTATGTGAGAGTGTGTGTGTGTGTGTGTGTGTGTGTGTGTGTGTGTGTCTGACTGTGTGTGTGTGTGTGTGTGGAGGCTGAGGGTGTCTGCGGCCCCCAGGGCTGGGCCTGTGGCTCTTCTGGGCCCCAGGCTCCTCCTCAGTAAAAGCAGAGGGTGGGGCTCTGTGGCCTCCGGCCCAGCCCTCACTTGGGCCCATCTCCACAGGCTCTGGGAACGTGGTTGAGGACATGGAGAGGCAGGTGCAGGCCAATGACATCCGCATCCGCGTCCTGGAGGAGGACAACATGCGTCTGCGGGCCACGCTGGCCAAGCTGAACGAGGTGACCCAGCAAGGCGAACTCAAGGTGAGGGGCCCCAGAGCCTCCTGGGGGCCGGGGCTGAAGGCCCAGGGCAAGGGGGAAGCTGGGCCAAGGAGGTGGCCCTCGTCCAGGGTTGGAAAGGTAGAGAGGCCGAGGGAAGATTTGAGCCCGGCTCCGTGTGTTCCTCAGCAGAGGGCCCTATGGGCAGGCCTCCAGCACTGGCTCAGGAGAGCCTGGGGCCCTGGAGGCCTGGGAAGAGGGCTGGCCTTGGGGGCCAGGCAGGGAGGCCCCCACTGCCGCCTCAGGCACTGGCACTGCTGGCTTTTGGAGGGCCGAGGAGGCCTGGCCCAGTGACAGCGGCGCGTCTCGATGGCCAGAGACCTCGAGGGCTGGCCACGTGGGGCCTGTGTGACCTCAGTGCCCTGGGCAGATGAGAGCCCGGAGAATTTAACATGAGGACAAGCTCTGTTATCCCCCCACTGCCGTTTGTGGGGAAACCCCCTAAGTTACACACGTGCCCATGAAAAGGGAAAGAATGAAGTAGGAGAGGATGGCCCTAGAGGTAGGAGGAGCTCAGAGGCTGCCGAGCTGGCTACCGTTGGGGAAACTGAGGCCCAGGGAGCCACCCAGGGAGTGTTGTCAGAGGCAGGATTTGAACCCCGGTCCTCTGACGCCTGAAGCTGCTTTCCACTGCCCTACCCCACCTCTAGCACCCTGGGATATTCTGTGAAGGATTATTTTAAAAGGACAGACAAGGCCCGGCCTGGGTGAGATGAGCACGAGGAGTGGAGCTCTGTGCTGCTGGGAGAGTTATCTCCCTGGGGGGATCAGGGGGTTATTGAAGTAGTCACGGATAAATACAGCACAGCTTCTTCCCGAGACGTGGAGGAGGTATGACCCAGGCTCCAATCCGGTTCTGCCATTGGCTCTCCAGGCCTCAGTTTCCTCCTTGAAAATGTGTGTGGACAGTTGGGGGCTGAAAAGAGGGAAGGTTGGGGAAGGTTTGACCTCCCCTGTTCTAAGTAAGGCCCCTCCCAGCTCTGACATTGTCTGTTCTAAGGCCCCTCCCAGCCCTGACATCCCCAGTTCTCAGGCCCCTCCCAGCTCTGATATTCTCTGTTCTAAGGCCCCTCCTAGCCCTCACATTCCCTGTTCTCAGGTCTCTCCCAGCTCTGACCCTCTCTTCTTCTCTCCAGGCCCAGATCTGGTCTTCATCTCCTAAAGGGACCCAAACAGGGACCTTCAGCCATTTCCGAAGACCTTCTCCAGGGTGAGTGTCTGCATGACAAGAACTAGGTGGGGCTGGTAAGAGGGCCAGAAGGGCAGCAGGCCTAGGCCTCAGCCCTTGGTCACCAGTGGCCTCTGTTCCAACTCTAGTCCCCACAGCGCGTCTGCCAGCCGCCGGGACCGTCCCTCTAGCAGCCGACCCAGCAGTGACAGCAGCCTCTCTGGCCATGCCTCCCGGCCCCAGCCCGGCTGCCCCAAGGCTCCTCGTGCCCAGAGGTCCTTCCGCTCTCCGTTAACCGTCACAGGCTCCTCAAAGGCCTCTGGCAGCGCCAACATTGCCTACGTGGAACTTCGAGGGAAGGGCAGTGGGAAGCATAACTTGGCGGGTTCTGCACACCAGCTGAGGTAGCAGGAGGTGACCACAGGGACAAGAAGGTGGCCTGGCCAGCCTAGCCCACGAATCAATAAAGCCAACAGCCTCTTCCTTCCCACCACATCAGCTGCAGCAGCCTTGGGGCAGTGGGCCCTGGCAGGGAGGGGGGGTGGCGGGTGGGCCAGGCAAAGGGCAGGGCCTCAGGGACCTTCCCAGGCTCTGCGCACCAAGTCGTGGCGGGGAGGGAGAGATAGTGAGCATGGTGCCCTAGCTGGAGCAGGCCTCTGGGGTGTGGAGGAGGAGACATTCTGCCCAGGCTTTTCCCAGGGAGCTGGAGAAGGGAGGTGGGTGACACAGAGGAGAAGCTCAGGGGACTGTAGGGGGGAACAGAGATGACCCTTTAGCCTCTGAACCTCAGGGCTCTACCCTTCACTCCTCCCACCAGCTCCCCAGTAAGTGCCTCTTTTAGGGTTTAGAGCTGAGACCTTTGAGCTCACCTAGCCCCACTTTATAGAGAAGCAAACTGAGCACGAAGGGAAGGGGGCTTGCTCAACAAGGTCACATGGAAAAGCTGGGCCTGGAAACCAGAGGTCCTGGCTGTCAGGACTGTCCTCACCATACCACAAGTCAACTCTGCCTCTGGCCTGTGGTTGCTCCTGGAGCCCACGTGGACCCACAGCTCCCTCAGGCTGACTCCGGCCCCCCAGGTCCCCCCCAGGGGACCCCCAGCTCCCTCAGGCTGACTCCAGCCCCCCAGGTCCCCCCACATGGACCCCCAGCTCCCTCAGGCTGACTCCGGGCCCCCTGGTCCCTCCTAGGTGGACCCACAGCTCCCTCAGGCTGACTCTGGCCCCCCAGGTCCCCCCCACATGGACCCACAGCTCCCTCCGGCTGACTCCGGCCCCCCAGGGGGACCCACAGCTCCCTCAGGCTGACTCCGGGCCCCCTGGTCCCTCCCAGGTGGACCCACAGCCCTCCTTTCTTCCTGAGGCTGACATTGGCTCCCAGGTCCAAGAGAGGGGGTGTGAACCAGCACGATCATGGAAAGATCAGCCTGGCTTTAAAGTTGTCTGTGGTCCCCTCCAGCTCCTTGACTGTGTGGCTGTATCAGGAGGGACCTGGGGGGCCAGGGAAGGAGGGAGGGAGGCCGGCCTGGGGCAAGCAGGCTCATGGGCCCCCAGGATGGAAACGCAGGACAGTGGCTGCAGTGACTCTGATTTAATGTTATACACTGTACACGAATGTGCCCAGCGGGCCGGGCCCTCCCTTCCAGCCCCTTCCAGGCATTATTAACCCTAATAAATTAGTATGAAGTTGAGCCCCTAGAAGCAGTGCAGGGGCTGCTCCCTGGAGGTCACTCATGACCTAGTCTCTGCCTGGGTGGCCTCCCCCACCAGGCTGGCCTAGCCTCGATGGAGCTGCTGCAGGCCCCCACACGGCCCCCCGCTGTCACCACGGGCTCAGCCCAGAGGCCTCCCTCCCATGGGGAGGGGCGATGCAGCATGGGCATTCTGCTCCTGGGTGGGGGCCTTCCCAGCCAAGATGATCTGGTTCTGAATGAGCGAGGCACGGTGTTCCTTGAGACCACCACGTGAGCCCGGAGAGGCAGGGCACCTTTCAGATGGAGTTCTCTGCCCCCTCGATCCCCCAGGGCGGGGCTGGGGCTAGCTCTCAGCCCAAGAGCTCCCTGCAGGAATAAGGGAAGAGTTGGCATCAGGAAGCCTCCCCCTCCCCTCCCCAGCTGCCTGCCTCATCCCCGTCTCTGCTTTCCTGGGGCCCAAAGTGGCTCACATGCCCTGTGAGGTGGGCCAGAGGGGGCCGTGGCCGTGGGGACCCGGGGATGGTGGTTACCGAGGATGTTGTGTTTGCACAGGGGGCAGGTCTGTTGAAGGAGCAGCCAGGGGTCTATGCATTCCCGGTGAAATTCATGGAGACAAGGCAGGACCCTGAGACACTGGATGAGAGGGAAGAGGGCAGAGAGGGAGGATGAAGGAGGCGCTGCTCAGCTCCTGAGGCCTGGGCCCCGCGGAAGAGAAAGACCCCTGTAACTCTGGCCAAGGCCCCAGCCCTCTCTAGAGACTTGGGGCGCCCAGAGCCAAACCTATGAGCTGGCTGTCTCTAAGGCCCCTTCTGGCCCAACAGCATTTATATAGCACCTACTGTGTGCCAGGGACTGTGCCTAGCGCTTTACAAATACCTCGCTTCAGCCTCACAACAATCCTGTGAGGTAAGTGCTGTTATTATCCCCATTTTACTGTTGAGGAAACTGAGGCAGAGGGGATGTGCCTTGCCCAGGGTCACACAGCTAGTCAACGTCTGAGACTGGATTTGAACTCAGTCTCCTTGACTCCAGGCCCAGCACTATGTGCCACCCCCAGCTGCTGTAATTATTCCTACTGTCCTCGTAGGGTGTATCACAGTTTAAAAAGTGCTTGTACATCTCTTAGCTCGTCAGATCCTTTCCAAGACCCTTTGTGAGGTCGGTGTCTCCAGGGCCACTACCCCCATTTTACAGAGGAGGAAACTGAGGCCTAGATCAGGAAAGTGAGTTGCCCAGGGTCTCATGGTAGTGTGCACTGGGAGTGGGCTAGGAACCTGTCGTCTGACTCTCCATTGCATCAGGCTTATGTGCGTGTGTGCATACAAATGTTACCCAGGAGAGCTCTAAGACGCACAAAGACTTTTGGGACACCCTCTGTCTCAGGATCATCCTCGCACCCTCCGGCTCAAGGGCCCTCACCTGATTTCTGTGAAACTGGTCCAGGCAGATGGCACAGGTTTGGATGTCGGGCACGTTGGCCCGGTGCTGGCGGCCTGGATGGTAGCGCCGGGTTTTTAGGGCTGACAGCGTCTGCAGGATATGCTGCGTGGGGTCCAGCTGGGAAGAGAAGGGGCCCAGTACAGCAGGGAGGGGCAGTGGGCCAGGGGAGAGCGGGGCAGGGCTGGAGGGGGCTCTCACCTGGGGGTCGGGCTCCACCGGGCCCTGCCGTGCCTGCCGCCGCGCCTGGATGATAAGGCCCATGCAGAGAAGCAAGGCCACCAGCAGGATAGTATTCCACAGCTTCTGCAGGTACTTCTGGGAAGGAGCGCTGGGGTCAGGAGGCTCAGCCCTGTGCCCAGGAGCTAGACGACTGCAAAGCCTACCTGGGCCTCCGGGTCCTGAGCCCCTGAACATAAGGACCAGAGCTAAGAAGGGGCTTAGAACAGGGGAGGTCAGGGCTGGGAGGGGCCTGAGAACAGGGGATGTCAGAGCCTGTAGGGGCCTGAGAACAGGCGATGTGAGGGCCAGGAGGGGCCCGAGAACAGGGAATGTCAGGGCTGGGAGGGGCCTGAGAACAAGGCTGGGAGGGGCCTGAGAACAAGGGATGTCAGGGCTGGGACGGGCCTGAGAACAGGGATGTCAGGGCTGGGAGGGGCCTGAGAACAGGGAGGGTCAGGGCTGGGAGGGGCCTGAGAACAGGGGATGTCAGGGCTGGGAGGGGCCTGAGAACA